TAGCAAGTTATCCATAAAATTGATGGAGAAAAAAAAAAAAGGAGTGCTCAGTGAGGAAATGAGTGGATGGATGAGCATGGAACAGTAGATACTCAGTGAAGTTCCCAAAAGGAAGCAATTGATTTGGAGTACTTGTTTGGTGTTTTAAAACTACTACTCAGGCCTGGCAGCGTGGCCTAGCGACTAAAGTCCTCACCTTGAACACGCTGGGATCCCATATGGGCGCCAGTTCTAATCCCGGCAGCTCCACTTCCCATCCAGCTCCCTGCTTGTGGCCTGGGAAAGCAGTCAAGGATGACCCAGAACTTTGGGACCCTACACCTGCGTGGGAGACCCAGAAGAGGCTCCTGGTTCCCAGCTTCGGATCGGCGCAGCACTGGCCACTGTGGTCACTTGGGGAGTGAATCATCAGATGGAAGATCTTCCTCTCTGCCTCTCTTCCTCTGTATATCTGACTTTGTAATAAAAATAAATAAATCTTTAAAAAAAAAAAAACGATTACTTACTCATCAGAAGCTTGCAAAACAGTATACAAAATGAAGTTCTCCACACCCTAGAGACAGCCTTTTATTTCTTACTAAATAGCTTGACTCTTCATGCTGATGTTAGAGATGTATATAGTTCTCTGAATACTACACTGTGCTGGTGTACCTTCATTTCTTCAAGCAAAATTACAATGTTAGAACAAACATCTGCAGTCTACTGAACTCAAGTTTATAGTAGCTCACTGATCTGTCACTGATTCAAAATCTTTGTCTTATTATGCCAAAGACTGGTAACTAGCCTCCTGTACCCAGCTCCTCCTTACACCTGTTAATAACAAGACCTTCCACTGAGGAGACACTGCCCAGCCTCTGTGGCAGCTGTAAGTCACCATGTGAGCAGGTACAAGCCAATGAGAGGAAGGGCTGTCTGGTTTTTAGCCCCTTTCCTTTTCTGTTGGTAAGAAAATAACAACCACAGCTATTGTCTTGCACCAGGAGGGGAAGCCATATGTGAAGGACAACACAGGCAATCCATCTGCTTCAAAATGACTACCATTAGACAATCAGGAGAGAAACATATATACTTCTACTAGTCATTGATTGGCTGGGGCTCGGAGTCCCCTGCAGCAAAGAATCTAATTGTATACAAGTACTAAGCAACTCAGAATCTTAAGAATGTTTAAGTGCAGGAAAACAATCCAGCCTAGCGTTTCAAGATATTTTTTTGTATTACTAACAAGAGACAAAATATCTCAACTAGTGCTCGTCATTTTCTGCAAAGTTTCCAAACTAGTCAAGGCACCTAAAACTGTCTGAAATAATATTCTAGCTTAAACAAAAAAATTACAAACTTCTGAGCATTACCCAGTTAGTGCATGAGATGAATTTTATCTACATTTATTTTAAACTTATACTTGTGGGAATAAAACACACACTCACAAATCCTGCTGAAGAATTAAACACCGGTATAAACCCTCCATACAGTAATTAGCATGAATGTACATCAAAGCCCCAGGAATGTTTATTTCTCTTGAATAACAATTCAATTTCACCAGTTCCCCGAGTAACTTATTAAATAAATCATGAACTAACATTTTATTAATAACTGTAATGATTGTTTCAGTAACTAATAACCTTCCTATTGGTAGGCACTGTTCTGTCTACTTTGCTTTTTATTGATATAAACTTAACGAAAAGCCTTGAAGCCAGGTCTTCTTATTGCTGCCCTTTGATAAATGAGTAAACAGTAGCTGGGAGAGAAAGTGACTTGCCCAAGGTGTCGCAGTTAGTAAGCAGCAGAGCTAGAATATAAAGACTGACTTTCCAGAAGTCTGGCTCTGCAATTTACCTTTCATATTGATCAAAATATGTGGTCACATAGAAATGAGTTGAAGAGCAGTTAATGACATGGATAAACACAGCACGCTAAGTGAAAAAAGGTAACACACACACACAGTAGCACAAAAGACACACAATAAGATCCCAATTCTATTTCAGGAAAGTATTACACGAGTACATTGAAAAAGACTGGAAGGAAAAATTACAGCACAGCAACAGTGAATCGCCCCGAGTGATGAAACACAGAAGACCTTAACTTACTATACGGTTACTATTCGTAAACTTGTATTTCTGTGACAAGCAGAGAAAAACCGTACATTTTAATTTATCTAAAGTTTAAGGGGAATACATGTCACAAATATTTTAACACTCTTCCTTCTAGAAATGAGGCATTTTTCAAAATATTTCAATTAAATAAACACTCTGTTTTCATTTATATATTGTGTTTTATGTTGCTCCTCCTCTCATAGAATTTAGTAACAATAACGCGTAAGAACAAAGTGTTTGCAAAAATAAGTAGTTTTTTGGTCAGATGAATAAACGTGACATAAAATAACATGAAGAACTGAAATATAAATTCCAAGGTCTGTTTTAGTTCTCTGAACTCCACATTTATAACGAGCAAAAGTACATATACCATAGTCCATAATGCTAGAGTGGTACATATAATCTTTCTTAAATATCAAACTTAATTTGAGCAAAATCTTGCAGGTTAAAATGAACCATCTGAGTCTTTGCTTTTTGAACTAAAAAATTCAAGAGTTTCCAATTATGCTTCTGCTTTAATAATGCACAGCTGCTATAAAATGCTTAACAAGAATAAGGTGCTGTCAAATGTCCTTGAACTTCTCCCTGAACTGACTGAATATTCAAGGTTATAATCTTTAAGGTAACGTAGATTACCTCAAAGGACAACCTCTTTATCAATTCTTTTACAGTAACAAAAGAAAGCCTTAGGAAAATTAATCCAAGCATCACTTTTTTAAACTTATGTTTTTATCTTCTAATTATGTTTTCCCTAGTGGGGTAGGAAATCTCTCTATCTAATTAAATTTACAAAGACTTGAATTAATGAGAGAAACTCTGCCTTGAGATCATACACTGCATATTTGTTTTGATAAATTCAGAATTCCTATACTCGTTCCTTATTTAAAACACTATTTTTCACACTCAGATGAAAAAAAGTTTAACCTCATTACTAACCAGTACTAATTTTAATCATGGGGAAAAATTATCTCACTTCAGAGTATTAATTATCAACTACAATGGGATACTTCACCACTACATACATTTTCTCATATTAATTTTTGAAAGGAAATTAACATAATAAAAAATTCACTTTCAGATCTTTTTTGGTGAACTTGTACATAACAAGGATGTACTTTGCATTGCTGACTTTTGATTTGGCCACATTTAACGACCGAGGGTCACAAATCAGCCAGCAGAAGACAGATTTAACTAGTAAAATACAGACGTCAAGAGAATATCCCGAATATCCATCAGCAGACGCTAAAGTCACCTGCAATCAAGACTTTTATCTTCAGCTACAGAGATAGAAAACTGGTTTGCTGCCCAAACAGCAGTTACTGTGGGGCTGCACCATGCTGGACCTAGGAGCCTAAAACTCAACCCAGGCATGTCTCCATGGACAGTAGGAACCCCCAGTATGCAGGACATCTGCCACTGCATTCCCAGGCACATTAACAGGGCGCTGGATGGGAAGTGGAGCACCAGAACTCAAACCAGCACCAAAACGGGATGTGGGTGTCACGGGGTGGCAGCTTAAAAGGCCACGCCACAACTTCAGGAACCCTAACCACCATGTGCTTTAATGGTAGGAAATATCTCAGACGATCATTTTCAAATTTCTGCAAGATTTGCTAGAGGATCGCTTTCATCAAGGTACACATCTTTATATATATTAAAACTTCTCTTTAAAGACTTTACAAAATGGAAGAGAGCAGAAAGCATGCAGGTTTTATTAAGCATAATCTGGGCACCTTATACCACAGATCTTGCCAGTTAAAGAACCAACAGCATTAAAAATTTTAAAAGCAGGAAAATTATAACATGCATAATCACAGCACAATGAGTAAATGTTTGCAAGCAACTGCTCCTGAATACCAATTACATTTACTTAAATCATTATCAATCTATAGTCTGAACAGAAGAAAGCCAAATTGCACAGAGAAAAAAACATAGTAGTATAAAATATTGTCCTTAAATAATGTATAAAGTAGGTATTTAAGTAGATACATATTACTGGGCTTTTAAAATGATACAGTGCCTAAGAATTACTTAATAATTAATGTATATATTTATATATACACCAAAAATATATACTGTATATGGTTGTTTGATATTAGTATGAAACTGCATTTCGAATTATGTTAAATCTTACTATAAAGTAGTGGCCATGATCATAAGACAGAATACCCTAAAGAAAGATCAATTTTGCCTTTCCCATAGCATAAAGTAATCAAAGAAATTAAAGTTTAATCAAAACCACTTTTCAAAAAAATCGATTTTCCCTTGGGTCTGGCACGATTGCCTAGTAGCTAAATCTATGCCTTTGCATATGGTGAGATTCCATATGGGCACTAGTTCATATGCTGGCTGCTCCACTTCCCATCCAGCTCCCTAAAGGTGGCTGGGAAGGCAGTCAAGGACAGCCCAAGGCCTTGGGACCCTGCACCCATGTGAGAGACTTAGAAAAAGTTCCTGGCTTCTGGCTTTAGATCAGCTCAGCTCCAGCCATTGCAACCACTTGGGGAGTGAACAAGTGGACGAAAGATCTTTCCCTCTGTCTCTCCTTTTTTCTGCATATCTAACTTTCCAGTAAAAACAAATAAATCTTTTAAAAAATCAATTCTGACACATGACTGATGCCTGGCAATACTGGAAATAGGCAAAACATTCTGAGTAGACTGAAGTATCAACATTTACTAACATTTTACTTTACTTACTTAGAGACACTCAAAAGGAAATGTAAAATAAAGGATAGAAACAGAAAAGGAAAAAGCAAACAGCAAATTTTCCTTACATACAAGGCAAATTCCATAACAACTGTTCCTAAGTACAGTTCTATAAAAAAATTATCCCAAGAACTGTAATCAGGGCTATTCATTATCTCCTACATTAATGCTTTATCACCAAGATTAGATATGGCCTGCATACCAAGTTCATCGTGCAAACTGCTACCGCCTACAGTAGATGCATTGTCATGTGATGCTTCTAAGTGGACACTCCCATTTCTCACCAGCAAGGAGGCACTAGCACTGAGCACTGCAGCCTGGGAAGGGGGACGGGACTGGACTTTGACCTGGGCTGTGGACTGCTGGCTTTGCTGACCATCTTGAAGGCTAGGAAAAAACATGGAGTGGGAAGACATTACAGGAAAGAAAAGAAAAAACAATAGCTAGAATGAACACAATACAGAAAACCAATTCAAAAAGACGCTTTTCAACAATAGCCTAGGAAAGAGCCAACAACTTAGTAAAATATCCAGATTCAACTCATGCTACTAACTAAAACCTTCTGGTCTTTACAAATCAAATGTGTAGTGCCAAAAGTGACAAAGAATTAATGTACATGTGAATGAGCTCATCTGTGATCTTTTTTCACCTCAATCTATCAAATTCTAAGGTAAAGGAAAAAAAAACAAAGAATCGCAAGTACATTAAATATGAAACTACTTCAAAAAGTTCATAGGAAAGGTATATTATCTTAGTTTTACTCTGCAAACTTTTGAAGTCCTCACATGTGTGGGTTGTAGCTCGTCACCAACAAACACTAATTTTCATTTAAAAAAAAAAAAGTACTTTCACTTAGAATCTTGTAATAATCCAGAATCAACTTTTCAGGCTCAAATTCACAATCAAACCAAGTTCTATACACTTGAAAATTTAAGAATATTAAATGGAACCAAGATTTTCAATTTTGAATAGAAAGAAAATCATTCACAAGTATAAGACAAGCCACAGTAATTGATTCAACCAAATGAAATACTGTCACTGAGATGTTCAGAGAAGCAGAATAACAGGTTGAGCATCCCTGATATGAGAGCCCAAAACATTTCAAACCTAACATGATACCACAAGTGGGAAATTCTACAACCGACCACACAGGACTGAAGATACTAAAGACAACTGCCTTGAGGTCATGCAAACACGGTGTACATGAAGCACAGGTGAATGGTGTTTAACTTGAATCCCAGGCCCAAGATATTTCACTATGGATGTGCAAATACTCCAAAATCCAAAACACTCCTGGTTCCAAGTTTTTCTGTACAGGATACTCAACCTGCAATATCAAGTGTTATTATAAAGATTCTGCATGTTTCAGAAAGAAGTTTGCATGCTTTATATAAATATTGTTAGTTATGTTTTTTTTTAACAAATTTTATTTTCCTTTCCAATACACACAACAATTTCAATAGCAAGGGTTCCTCATTTGCAAAAATCTTAAAAGTGATTTAGACACCACGAATTTCTCTGAGGACACTAGTTCTCTCTAAATTTTACAAAATTTCAGAAATACCTAGAGGCTGGCATTGTGGTACTGTGGGTTAGGAAACTGCTTCCAACACTGACATCCTACGTCAGAGTGCCAGTTCAAGCCGGAATTGCTGTTTTTCTAATCCAGCTTCCAGCTACTATACCGGGATAAGCAGCAGAAGACGGCCCAATGATGGAGACCCCCTGCCACACACGTGGGAGATGGGATGGAGTTCCTGGCTCTTAGCACTGGCTGGGCCAAGATCTGCTGTTGGGGTCATTTGGGGAGTTAACCGGTGGTTGGACCTCTATCTCCATCAGTCCTCAAATAAATAAATAAAATATTTTTAAATCCAGTATTATGTTATCATAAATTGATTTTTTTTATTTTAAAAAATAATTTAGATAATTAAGAAATTGTACCATTGCTTACTCTTTTTATATTTTTAGGCATTTATTTATTTAAAATACTGAGCTTTAACACAGCCATGCTTTAACAAATTTGAATTGATCAAATTCATAAGATAATTTTGACTACAATCACAACACATCATTTGGCACATGGTACACATATAGAACGTGCATGCAATGCACCTCTGCATTCTGTATATCAAAATTAACTGTGACCCATGTCAGAATGCTATCCAAGCTATTTGGTACGGTGAGTTAAGCCACTGTCTCAGAGGCCTGCATCCTTGTCGTGGTGCTGCTTTAAGTCCTGGTTCCCTGCTGCAATGCCTAGGGAGGCTCAAGTACGTGGGCTCCCAAACTCCTTTTGAGAGCATCAAAAAAGTTCTAGGCTCCTGGCTTCACCTGACCCTGCTCTGGATGTTCCAAGTACTGGGGGATCTCTCTTTCTCTGTCATTCTAACTTTCAAATTAAAAAAAAAAAAAATTAAGCAAAAATAATAGAAATTATTTTGTTTCAAACAAAACTAGAATGCTTCTTACTCAGTTACTTCATCATTTTTCCTGTGCAACTATTCTCTCTAATCCTTTGAATTCACTGTAACAGATTCTCTGGTACTTACAAAACAAACTCATCTGCCTTGACGACTGAAATAAAAGGCTAAGCAGAAAATCCTGTGCATATTCCTTAAGCCTCTGGTTACGACAGTAACAGCCTGAGTTAGTAGCTCTGTATCTGAACTAGTTAAAATTTTTAGCTCCTCAGTCCCACTAACCAAATTTCAAATGTTCAATAACCACATAATGTAGGTAGCAGGCTCAACAGTTGCTAAAGTCAGCAGTAGCCCACAGTTGGTGTCTACTATTGAAAGGCATGCGATGGAATATTTCCACCATCACAGAAAGTTCTGCTAAACAGTGTTACCCTGAACACCCATCTAGTAAGCTTCCGTTAGAGACATGTTCTAACAGTACATGTTCTATGCAGAGGCCACAATATGCAAAAAACATCAAGTCTGCAAAATGTCAACTCTTACTGGCATTACTTCTTTAAGCTCTAACTTTAAAAGCACTTAATAACTCGCTTAGACTAGATGTAAAATAGATATACGATGATGCTCTTCGGTTTTAACATGTAAGTTTTTATACTCCATACACATAATAATTAATCACTTAGTCTTCCCCAGAAGGTATCTAAATGTACCAGCAAATCTTATCAGAATTAACAGATTTTATATAACCAAAAATAGGGAAAAAACAATGTTTGAATGCTATGCGCTGGCAGACTCAGAAAGCAGAATTTTATAGGAAATGATATTCAAAGATGCTTACATCAGTTTTTCCATGTAATGTCATAAACAAAGACATTATATGGCAGTCAGATGTGGACATAGTTTAGAATGCACCAACTTCAAAGTGAAGGTCCACAAGCTATTCATATATACAAACAGAAAAAGGTTCACAAAATACTGTGCCAGGGTGGACACAGGGGGTTGCGGCTGGGTGAGCCTGCTGCTTTGGACTCCTCGTGCCACAGCAGAATGCCACGTCTGAGTCCTGGCTCCTGCATTTCCGATCCAGCCTCCTGCTAATACGCCTGGGAAGCAGTCCCAGCTGTGATGGGCATTTAAGTAGTGAGACAGCCTTCTTTCTCTGCTATTATGCCTTGCAAATTAACTATCTTAGAAAGAGAAATGAAAAATATGTATCAGGTTAAAAAATATTAATTCCAGGATAAAGAAATTGACCAAAAAAGACATTGGCCAAAATCTATGTGCTTGTAAGCATTATATGTTTTCAAACATCAAAAGCTAGAGATGAAATATCTACATTCTTGAAATCCTTCAATAAAAAATTTTAAAAGCCTGTTTGTATAAATTGTTGGGAAACATACCAGAATGTTTAAGCTACTACTGATTGGTATAAAATGAATTTTTCTTACAATTATGTCAAAACTATCAGTTTGAAAGAGATATTTTCTAACACATCAAAATGACAGCTACAAATTTAGGTGTGAAAGTAATCCCAGCTACAGCTAGCATCACTGACCTACGAGCACACACTGATCAGATTACAGAAAACAATTGTTCTGAGGCTTTGCCCTTCTCTGTGGCACTTCACATGTGGCTTCACACTATTAGTGATTTTTCTGTGTCTCTCCAAAGTATAAACTCTGCAAGTATGACAGTGTCCCAGTGATCACCCAGATTCCAGAAGACAGTGCCCCGAACATAGTCCAATGATCAAGATTTACTGGATTCTTCCTTGACTATCACAAGGAAGTATCACTTTTCTCTTCGCAAAGTACACTGGTACATTCTAATAAAATGAACTAGAATTGAAAAGGCAGCACATTTAGGTTGATAAATACAGGCTTTCAAGCTTTCAATAATAATTTAGGAAATTTTAAAATATTTTGTTATTAGTGCTAGTAGGAAGAAATAGCTACAAATCTAATTAGCTCTAAATCTGCGTATAAGGCCACCTAAATAACAATTTTCTCAAAGTTCTGAAATAATTTTTCTAATAAGTAATATAAAAACACATGACAACTTTTCTTTATAAGAAATTGATGATTTACTTCCAACTCTCAAAAACATGTATTTACCAACTTATTTCTGAAAAGCCATTTACTTAAACTATTCACTAAAGTTTAATATAAGTTACATTAGTTCCCTTTGAGGTTTTACTTTCAGTTCCTTTCATTTCAATTACCAAAGAGGAACCATGATCTGAAAATATTAAATAGAAAATTTCAGATACAAACATTTTTAGGATTTTTTTTAGTTACTTATATATATATATATCATTATACTTTATTATTACCACTTACTGTACATAATTTATTAGTTAAGATTCTTCGCAAGTATAAATGTACTATGCAGGAAAAAAACCTAACATACAGAAGCTTCAGTGTCATTTGGTTGGCGTGATAGGACTCCTGCAGATTTTACTAGATAAAATCTAGTAACTGCATAATACTTGTATAAGAACTGTAATGGAAGTATTTCACTACTTTATCTCATTTGAAAAAATGTCCAAAAGTGAAATAACTATTTTATCCTACATCTATTTAAACATGATATTGTTCTGTAACTCACACTGAGAAATAACATCGATATACTTTACCTGAATATATTACAACTATAAAGGATAAACTGGTATTTTTCCTAATCCTTGAGATTTTATTTTATTTCATAGGTGATAAGGTCACTTTGAGGTATTTATAATTTTTATATTGGAGATACCCAAAAACAATATGGTTCTACTGTAGCACTGCTTTCCAAAAATTCTAATAGGTCTTTATAACCACATCTGTGCTTGAATAACAGTGTATTCAAATCCCTCTGAAAATGGGAAAATTCTATGTGACTTGCTGGAGTTAAAACACTGCTTCTTAACATTCCACCAGAGAAATACAACTGTCCTGTCTATCATTGTTTGGTGAGTGGGATCCTACAGGCTCATTTGAGGCAAAGACTGAAAGGATTTTAAAAGACTAAAAAGAGCAAGTTAAAAAATGTTACAACCTCAGATTTTCAAAATAAATAATAAAGTGTTTAAACACCAACACAGGGTTAAGAAAGCTTAGCTATGGCAAGTATTAGTTAATGAAGAAAAAAATGGAGAAAATAAAACGCTGAGTTCTTTCTGCATGCTGAAACTAAATCCCAAATACAACAGAAAAAAAAAAAAAAAAAAAGAGTACTCCAAACAGGAAGGTAAAGGAGGAAAAAAGAATAGAACAGGCTGCACAAAAGCAAGGGTACTCAGAAAAGTTCTCCAATTGTTTTATTTAAGTTGATGGCTTTCCATTTACAATTTTAAATATTGGCTTAGCTAATCCATACTTATTTATATCGAATTTCCTTTTGAAGGATTCATTAGGAACATGACCTATGGAAGATAAAGTTCCTGATTGTAATGTAAACTACAGAAAAAATAACCAAGTCTTGAATGTCAGTTACAGAAATGAGGACTTGACAGCAGTCATTCATTAAATGCTTTAGCAGGAAAATACATTTTATTATGGTGCTATCGGGCACAAAGACCAACAAAAGTACATGCTGTCATGCACTAGGGGCTGTGAGTTACCCACAGTGTGAGTAAGCCCCAGCTATTCCAGCTAGCAGTCCTCAGCCTCAGGCTAATCACCTGAGAAACACAGCAGCTTGCCCAAGTGCTGGGATGCCCGCTGCTCTGGAGGGAGGCTGCCGCCTTTGACCTAGCCCAGCCCTGAAGGTGCTTAAAATTTGGAGAATGAACCAGTGGACTGAAGATCAGACTCCCAATCTCTGCCTCAACCCCCGCCTCCTCACCTCCCACTCTCCCTGCTAGCGAACCTTTAACAAATAAATCGGTTTTTTACATCCATATTTGTATTTTTTAAGTCTTCTGAATAGATTTTTACATTTCAAGTTTGAGATGTTTTCATTAGTTTGATGTAATTAATAATGCTGGATTTTTAGTGGAGATTAATCCACAATGTAAACAAATGGGTGTTTTTACCTATGAATATAATAAAATATCAAAATGCTTAGCACATTGTAAAGGTTGAGAACTTCACCAGAGATTGACTAAACAATTACATATATTTACAATGTGCACATGACCACATTTCATGTAAAATAACATTCAACCCTGTATCATTTTTTAGCTTTTGTTAACAGTTAAACAAAGACATTAAGTTTTTAGGTAATATAAAACAAATCACTTTCTAGTGAAACAAATAATCAAATTGGCTTATCTGGCTGAGGCCAGTATCTATTATTCCACAACAAGCTCACTGTTTGGTCTCATATTTCTTTAACACCTTCAGAAAAGACCTTGTACTACTATTGTTACTTGAATTAGAACAAGAGAAAAGTAATATAAGGCCCACTACTTACATTCCGTAACTATCCTAAAGTGATCTTGTAATTTAAAACTGATTAAGCCAATCTAGTCATTTTGTTTAGTACAACATAAGGCATGCAAAATGCAATAGTCTCATTCACGGTTACATGCAAAGAAAGTCCGCAAGAGCTAAAGTGCACAGGAGAGAAACAGAAAAAGCAAACTCCAAATGCTCTCTTGGGTCACAGGTTATCAGGTCTTTTACATGCATGCTCTACTTGGTGGAATTTCAAAATACCATACCTTAGGGGCGATCCGATGAGCAAGGTGGGAGGGGTAGGGTTACTCCCTGCATTGTGCCGGCGCCGCACTGCCTGGCGCCTAAATGTGCTGCGTTCACGGCGAAATGACACCGCCTCCTCGCTGGCCTGTGCTGCTGCATCAAGACAGACTCATGTCAAATAGCAGCCCGGTCAGAGATGTACAAAGCAGCTGAGCTTGTTTTTCCCTTGACGTCCCACCCTAAGGGGCACAAGGAACTGGTCTAATTACTCCACACTGCTTCCTGCTCTGTACCGTTAATCCATCACATCAGAGAACACACAGAAAGTATGTGTCATTCAAAGATCATTTTTTTCTGAAAAGTGTTTTTGGTGCTGGCTCACTGTCTTCTCTTCACCCTCAATTTTAATACCTCTGTTATTTCATATCTTTTCCTGAAAGCTTGTTTATTGTTATCTCATTTTCCTCTATAGCCCTTAAATTACGTCAGCCTCGAAAATGGAGTATTTGTTAGTTTATACTAACAGGAATGGGGCATTAATTTTTCACTCTAAGAAGAGTAAAAGCATTGAAAACTGTACACAGAGGTTGTGTCCTAATGAATTCGTCATAAGTTAGAAACCTCCTAAGTCAAAGGCCCATTTAATAGCCCCAAACCACAGGACTTGGCAGCACACCACACCACAGCACACTACACAGCCTTGGCTGCTCTGCCTCAGGATCACAGGGCTAACTCAAAGTTTTTCCTGACTTTACTGCTAATTCAGGAAAAGACCCAAATTCACAACTCAAGGCATGGTTCTGAGCACATATCATTTCCCCACCATCCTAGAACAGAAAACTAGAGTCAGACACTTGTGTAGTTGGGGATTTTTTGTACTTTACAGCCAATGCCAAGAAGCTGGCAGTATGTTTACCTAACAACACTCTGTGTTGTAACTTTGGCAGTACTAAATGAAATCACCGATTCCAAAGCTGCACCCTTAACTTGCTAAAAGTCTGTGATAGTATGAATGTATCTTAACCGTAAGGTAATTCAGCTATCATTAAACTTTACTCAAGTCTATATCCCCAGGCCTAACCACTTCAATATTAAAAAGCACGCAGTAATAAAGTATCAGATACAGAAACTCCTGATGTAATCTGAAAGCAATAATATGCAAACTAAAATTACAATAAAATCATAACAATGTCACAGAATTATATATTTTATAAAATCACTCTAATCATCTCACCACACTCAATTTGTACAGTAAAATGAAACATGATTGCCATATATCCAAATATGGAATAATCCTTGTTCCCTAGTGACCTAAACATCCTGAGAATTAGTTTAATTTTGAGAAAGGATACTTTGATTGTAAACATAAACAAAACAAAACAAGTTAGTACAAAGGCATTCCTTCCAAACATGGACACTTTCCTTAAATACAAGATAAAAGTACATAAAAGCTCATGTATATAAAAAGCCTATCTTATAAAAACAACTGACATTGATTAAATGTGGCCACTAAGAACTGCTGTCCAATGTGGCCGCCACCAGCTGTTTGTGACTATTAAGCTTTAATTAATTAAAATCAAATAAAGTTAAAAATTCTTTAGATTCATGAACCATATGCCAAGTGCTAAGCAGCTACACTCGTAGTTGGTGGCTGCCATCATCAAACAGTACAGATATAAAATATTACCAATACCACAGAACGTTGCATTGGTCGTACTGGTCTACAATGTCCAGGCTATTTTGTTCTGCCAATCCACAAGACATTTACCAATTCCTGATAGTCATGACCCCAAAGAAAGGAAAACAGATTGAAACCATCACAAAGCAGAAAACATATACAGTCACAGAACAAAGGAACAAACAAGGAGAAAGCAAGTCAGCTGAGGGAAGAAATGGAAAATAAGAGTAACTGGTATACCCGGAAGGCGCTGAAGACATCACTAAGCCAGGCTAGGGAACTTAAATCATCGTTTAAAAAATTTCAATTCAAACAACCTTCACAACACGATTTCTATTCTATGGCTTCTATCACCTATGGTACTGTGACTTACAAACCATTATTTACAACAAGCTATTAAGTCCAATTTATAGGTCAATCCAGCTGCAGTAAAAAAAAACTTTCTAATATTCTCTCTAGTTCAGTTGTAGTTTAGTTCCATTGTAGACATTGCTTCAACCAGAAAAGAGTAAATTTATCCAGACATCATTTACAGGAAATAATTAGATAATTTAATTGGTAGAATATACCAAAATGATTAAGAAAGATATTAAGGATAAATCAGATAAAGATAAAATTAGATAAATTAGATAACTTAATTCATAGAATATGCCAAAATTACTCAGAAACATATAGAAAAAAAGCAATTTGTGATCAAGGGCTCCTGAGAATAAGTAGGAAAGGAAACGGGATAGTTTTAATAGCTTCTTCTAGCTAAGACTTATTGGTATTAATTGTAAGTAAAAGCTAATTGCTCCATAGTTCTGAGACAAAGCAACAAACTGTAGTAACAATTTCTAGCCAAAATGTCCTCTGGCTTTTTCAGTAAACCATCTTTTCATTTTGCCCCAGTAAGACACCACTGACATCCGGCCATCTGCAGAACAGCTAACGGGTTACCTTACTCCTTTCCTTAGCCTTGGGAATGTATCAAGATGAAAGCTGAGGAATTCATTGAACAATGTATTGATGTGGAGCTATAAAAACTGCCTATAGTGTCCTTTGTAATAATCGGGATATAAATATCTTAAAGAATTTTCAAAGTGTTCACCACAACAACTGCTTTATTAGAAGACGGATTCACACATTCTCCTGAAAGCGCAATGCTAGGCAAGTCTGCCCCAGCGCCTGTGCCGCTTTCCCCACCATCTGTACTTGGAGTAAGGTCCAGCAGAGGACCCAAGGGAGGAGAGAGCATCTCTGAAGTTTAAAATAATCTGCTGTAAGCATATACAGTCACCTAAGCTATACTTGAAGAAAATTCACTGTAGCAATTCAGTTACAGTGAACTTTTTTAACAGTTTAACCGTAGAGGAGAAAGAAAAAAAAATAAGCTAGAAAGCAGAAAATAATTTGAGACTAGTTTTGAAGACATGGTTTTACTGAAAAACCAGCATTTTCTAGCAAAGAATAGCGTTAAAGATTGAGAATATAAAATATAAGCAATGCAAGCCTGGCACTCTAGCTACTATTTAATAAAACCATGTGTAGGTAAAGGACTAAAAACATTCCTGTGATTCAGCAATTAAAGCTCTGTAAATATGGGCCAGGATGTGGTACAGTGCCTTAAGTGTCCACCTGTGACACCAGCATGCCAAACAGGAACCGATTAAAGACTCAGATGCTCCACTTCCAATCTAGCTCCCTACCGATGTGTCTGGGAAGGCAGAAGGAGCCCGAGTGCTTGGACCCCTGCATCCATGCAGCAAATCTGGAACAAGTTTAATACGCCTGGCTCTGACCCGGCACAGCCCCAGCAACTAGAGCCACTTGAAGAATGAACGAGCAGAACATCTCTTATTCATTCTCTCTCTTTCTGTCTCTTCCCTCTCTCTGCCTTTCAAACAACAAAAAGAATAACAAAAACAGAATTCTAACCTACCAGCATTTTTTTCAAATCACAAGTCCTGATACTCTAATCATGCATTTTCTAATAGTTAAAATGACTTCAAAAGAATGTCTATTATCTTAAGTTTAAGGATTTTTCAATGACTAGAACAGTCGCATAACTAACTAATCTCTTCCCTGCAGTGCAGGCATCCCATAATGAGCACTGGTTCAGGACTTGGCTGCTCCATTTCCCATCCAGCACTGCTTACAAACTGGGAAAGCAGTGGAAAATGGCCCAAAGCCTTGGGCCCCTGTACCCAGGGAGACTTGGAATAAATGCTTGGCTCCCAGCTTCAGATTAGTCCAGCTCTGGTGCTTATGGACATTCAGAAAATAAACCAGCATGGGCCTGGTGCGGTAGCCTCATGGCTGAAGTCCTCATCTTGAATGCACTGGGATCCCATATGGGCACCAGTTCTAATCCCGGCTTCTCCACTTCCCATCCAGCTCCCCGCCTGTGGCCTGGGAAAGCAGTCTGGGGTAGTCCCAAGCCTTGGGGCCCTGCACTCAGATGGGAGACCCGGAAGAGGCTCCGGGGCTCCCGGCCTCAGATCAGCTCAGCTCTGGCTGTTGTGGCCACTTGAGGAGTGAATCAGTGAACGTTAGAGTTTCTTTTCCGTCTCTGCTCCTCTCTGTATATTTAACTTTCCAATAAAAATAAACAAATCTTATTTAAAAAAGAAAAAAAAAAGTCTGAACTTTAAAAAAAAAATGGACCAGCAGTTGGAAGATTGTTCTCTCTCTGGCTATTCTTCACCTCTGTAACTCTTTCAAATAAAATAAATATTTCTTTTTTAATAAGAAAAAGGAATGTTCAGATAATGTAGCTTTTTAGGTTTGGGATACTGGTGTAAAAATTCAATTAAGTTTTAGTATTTACTGTCTATGTACAACTCTTGGGCACAGCCCAAATATTCTAAAATATTGTAAGCAGTTGTGTTCTGGAGACCACTTATAAAAGTAAAATCCACACTAGACATCTCCACATCTCCAACTTCAGGACGCACTTCCCTTTTATTTCAGTGACTTAAGTGTGTTCCATACTGAATCACTATACTTGATCAATGCAATCTATTTCTATATGGCACATTAAAACTATCTTACTGAGTGAAAACAAGAAAAGCATTTACTTTCAAGGTAGCTGGTATGCACACAATAGCAAATTTTGATGAGGCACAAGCTGAGGGTTCAAAAATTCTATCCCAGAATCTGGATCTGTGAGTATAACCTGTGAGTATAAATATGTACAGATAAAGATGCTTCTTTCAAAGGACTGTCAATAGGGGCCAGTGTGTGGCACTGCAAGCTAGGCCTACCATCCTGGCATCCCAGAAATGGTTCACATCCTAGTTGTTCCACTTTTGCTTCGGCATAGTATTTGTGGCCTGGCAAAGCAGCTGAACATGGCTCAATTATTTAGGCCTCTGCGGAAAACTCCTGCCTTTGGTCTGGCTCATTACTGGCCACTGCAGCAATTTGGGGAGTGAATGGGTGGGTGGGTGTATTTCTCCCTTTTTCTCTCAAAAGCTCTTTCAAATAAATAAATAAATCTTTAAAAATTATCAGTCATATAACTGATTAGTTAAAGGATTCATATATAAAATACTACTTCTGAACTGCTGTTTTGCAATAACAAGCATATTGCAGTAAGTCAGTAATAAAAATTTAGACAGAAAAAACTGCTGAAGAATATTGTCCTGCAGGAAGTGCTTATTTTGGGGACAAAAAAGTAAATCTGAGAGGATAATGAAAATAAATGTGTACACCTAGTACCTCAAGTATATCAGAAAAATGCAATTATGAAACTAAACTTAAAACAATAAAATATGGAACAAACACACTGTATACATAAGCTCAAAAAGTGCTGACATTCTGAAATACTCTTCAAGCTAAAAACTACTTAAGAACAGGATCACTACCTAGTTAACTGAACATTCAAATCATTTTGCAAAAAAAATTTAGAGTAAATATTTTATGCTAGGCATGGCATTCATTAGCTTTCCCTTTCTAAGTTTCAATGTCAGCCAAAATTATTGCAAATATCCTGTTGTGATAAAACAAATGCTTGTAAGCATCACTTTCTGGGAGGCCAAAAAAAAAAAAAAAATGAGAATTGACTGTACAGCATGTAATCATCAATTGTAAACGAAAATAATTTTCACTGGTGAAAACATTATAAAGGACCAGCTGTGTACTGCACCTGCTCCCTGACTTCAGCCCTGTAAGTGCCAATCCTCTTCCACTAACATGCCAGGACGGACTGGGAAATCAGATAATTAAGTTTACTAGCCTTCAGAGATCCTCTATTTAGTAAAGTGACAGAAGCTTTAACTTGCATTATTTTGTTTAGTGGTCTTCATCTTTCTAAAGTTCATTGATAATATTAACATACAACAAAACAACAGATCTAAAATTTTCATGTATAACACAACCGTCTCACAAATTTTCAGAGAATATGTGACTTTTCTTGATAACTTTTCCCGTAATAGATTATCTCTGGTTCCTAAAGCAAACAATATTATGATATGATTCCAGCTAATGCCTACAGTATTGTGATCCAAACATTATAATTACAATAATTTTGTTGTAAAATAGATTGAGAACTTAAAAAAAAAGCACAAGGAATATCAGTTAACCCAAACTTCTCCTCTATTCTTTACCGTCTGACTTTGATACAGAAAACACATTATAACCATATCATTGAATCATACAGCTAGTAAGTTTAAGTGGCCCAATAAGACACTTTAATGGAATCCATAAAATCTGTTCTCTTTATATTAACCAAAAATAAAACAAAAGAAAATCCCAAGGCACTTTGCAACCATATAAAACTTGTATGTATTTCTTAAAATACTAGTCATAAATTTTTGAAGACAAGCCCTTTTACCTATTAAAAAGTATAAAATAGAAATCAAGTATCAAACAAGGTCAAAAGCATACTTAACCAAAAATGACAACAGATGTTATAAAACAATCATCTGTTATATGACTGCATGCCTAAAATTACATGACATAATTATTACAGCCAAAATAAGGTTAAAATACACATTGCTGGATTAGTTAATGAAAACTGGTTTTCTGCTGATTTTATGTAAGAAATCAGTAATTTAGATACCATCTTTATATTTTACAGTGTCAAATTCCACAATAGCACAATTAGAATACTTAATTTATTTATATTAAATCACTTACTTGCACCTTAATTTTATACCACTGATTTAAAAAGTTAAGCAAGAACAGGATTCATTTGCATTGCATAACAAATTGGCCTGTTTAAGAATCGTACCAGCAGTGCTAATAAGAATTTATGGCATGCCAGATACTATTTTAAGAATTTTATGTATATCAAACCCCTCTAATGCTTACAACAACTCTATGTGATATATATTTTTATCATTTCATTTTACAACAAGGAAGCTGAGGTTTAAAAATTTAGTTAAGCAGCTTTCTTACAGTCACAACTACAGCAGACCTCAGATTCTAACAAATGCATGTACTTCATGTCATCAAATCAATTTATATTCTTAGAATACTTTAGGTTATATTCTTAGAATATTTTCCTTTAGTATTTTAAAGTACATTTACTAATTCCACTCCTCCATATTACTGACACAACACACTGTAAAAATAAAACAGAAATCACTGGAGAATTAATACTTTCAAATTCATCATAATGAAACCCATTTATATTTTATAAACAGATGTATGTTTTATTAGTACAGTAGTAAAACAAAATATATAGCCCAAAACAGTTTTCCTTAACTGTCAAATAAAATTGGCAAATAGTAACAAGTAACATTAATATACAAGATTATTTTTTAAAGTATTTAAGCCTACATTAATTTTTAGATATTGAGAATCAAAATAAACTACCTCCCATGTTCCAGTATTCCCCAAAGCCCAAGTAAACCTCCTACAAAACCTCTGTATTTAGCGGTGATGAGAATCAATAAACATAAATCCTCGACACATAGAAGTGGTTTAGTTTTGCTTAACATTTACTCTAGACAAAATGCAGTGCAAATAGCAATGGCCTCTGTAACGGCTTCCTTGGGGAAAGCCTCTTTTACAACAGTCTACAAACTATCGCATCTCTTCCATCAAGAGTTGGTGGAAGTTTTTCTTTCATCACTTGCCTCAGTGGAGATATTTTTAAAAGAAGGAAAGGAATACAAACAAAGAACCCACAAATGTTGGAACCTGTAAAAATGAGAGGTTAAATTACTCAGAACAAATTGTACTAAGAAGTAAATGACACCTTCTATATAACTTTTCCCCCTAAAAAAGACAGCACTGCACATTCCTTATAAAAAGAAGTAACATTTTAAATACAAGGACACAGACTTACTACTGTCCTTGTGCATATATGATGGGTACTAACACACCAACAATTCTTTTCCATCATAGTATGCTCACTGTTAAAACTTACTTTGACACAGATTTTAAAAAGCTATATTTTAGAACCTAATGATTTACTGCACATTTTGAACACAGGTGAGATCCATGTGAGAAATCACTGCAAGCATCTTTAAGTCTCTTATAAAAAAAAAAAACAAAAAAAAAACTAAAACCCAGAATGGTATCCAGGTCAAAGTCTCAAGGACATTTAACTACTTTATTATCAACAAAATCTCTGTAGATACACACCATTCTCATTATTTAAGTTTGAGACAAACTACCTTCTTCCTGAGGAATCAGAGATTTCTTTACATTCTCTGTTAGAAATTTTACCAAAAGAAAAAGCAAACATAGAGGACACTGTTAGCCACAATATGGACTTCCAAAACACTCTTGGTGACATTCACATTCTTTGAGAGAATCAGTTATTCATGTTTTAGAATGTTTGCCCAAACAGAAAATTCAGCTTATTAAGACACTGAACATCACTATACCAACAGACTGTAAAATTCAAAGCTAAAGATACAGCATCAACAAAAGGAGGGGAGGAAGAGGCAGAAAATGCTAAAGTGCTGACAACAAAAGACATAATTTTCCAACATAACCAAAATAAAATTTCAAAAAACCTATTTGGGGCAGGAGGAAATAATAAGCCACCACTTTAAAATTAAAACATATGGCCAATAAACACTAACAATGTAAAATCACCTAACCAGTATTGCATAATTTCCCCTCAAACTAAAATAAGTAAGCTATTGCATTAACCAAAATACCATCACTGCTATCGCAGGGATTACACACATCTAATAACGGACGCAGCATGCTATGATAAAATACAAATCTCAACTATGTAAGCTTTAGAGAACATATGAAGATATGAGGGGGAAATGTTCTTTTAAGGTTAAATATGCAAGAAATACAAACAAAAAAGAGATTTAAAGAGACAGTTATAGGTTTCAAAGGTACACAATGAAGCTAAGGTTATATTCTGAAAAATCTTACATAACAAGTTGAATGATCTGATTCTGAAAGTTCACTGGCACACACTGTGTAAAAGGTGATGGACAGTGGTTTGGTGTTGCTGCCATCAAGTAGCCACAAGCGGTTAGCTTTATTATTTCCACCAGAAACACGTAGTATCCAGCTTAGAAATGTCAACACCAACAAGAACAAAATGATATGTTCAAATAATACAGCTAAAAACTACTTATTAGTACTCACATCAAAACTTTTTCTAAAATAACCGTCTCACTTCTTAGGAAAAAACATACTTAAATAACAGTGTGAATGGGACAATATTAACCGAAAGCATTTTTTTAAGAAATAAACACTACTCAAATTGACAGCACCAGAATCTTCAGTGACTTTTGGGGAGTCTCCTGTGTGGCTCACTTACCTCCACTGGCTGCGTCTTGCTCTTCCCCTTCAGGAAATGCAGCCTGGCTTGGCAAACTATTCCTAGACCGTGTGACTGTCTCTAACTGCGAAGCCCGGCCCAGTAAAGATAGCTCATCTAGCACCTCTCCCTCTTTGGCCTCGAGGTCTGATTTGGAAGTTGTTAAGGGTTTTACACTTTCAGGGGCCATGAGTCTATTTGAGTCATTCAAGCATGCTACCGTGCCGCTGTCCAAGCTCAACACCCGAGCCCGAGTCTTAGCACTATTGGTGCTGGAAGTCCGTCGTGTGGCCCGCTTTTTGCCAGCTCCCTCAGGACCCAGATGAGCCTTGTGAGTGTGTTCAGAATCTGTGCCCCTCTCTTTGTGGACATGTTTGGTCTTTGGAGCACTGTACCTGCCCTCAGGAGACTGACACGAATGAGAGGTGGTGCTGGAAGAGCTATCGCTGCTGAACTGATGAGCCGACTGAACACTTGACGCTCTGCTCAGGTCACTCTGATCACTAGAGTCCTCGTCGTGACAAAATACAGCACTATGAGGTTTGGTACCAGAAACACCTCGAAAGGAAATGTAGTCCCTGTGCCGACTGGAGTCAAAACTGCTGGCCCGTTTCTTTCCTGTCCGTCTCCTGCCTGACTTGTGGGCAGAAGCTGTCCGGTAAATTAAGCTGGAGGATTTGGGTCGCACATCCCCTTCCTTCTGCTTTCCACCAGTATCTTTAGAAATTTTTGAATCCACTGGAACCACTGGCTTTTCACTCTGTTCCTCCTTGTTGTCCACAGTTTTCTCCACCGGCCTATCCTCTGGTGACGTCACTTCATTGGCATGGGGGTTCTTATTGGCTTCTTCAGACGCAGAGGTGCTGAGCGCTCTCTGGCTGTGCACCTCCCCTGAGCCCGCAGGCTCCCTGGCCTCGGGAGCCCCAGGATCTGCACTCACTTCCAAGGCAGCCGTGTCCCTGCTAGTCCTTTGGTCACGGGCACAGCTGTTGTCAGGATCAGCACAGCACTCTTTTTTCCTACTACTCTTCTTGCTTACTTTCGGAGACTCATCATGTTCTGACAAGATGCTTTCTATGTGCGTGGAGCTAGTCTGCTCACTTTTGTAGCTGCTGACAGTACTATTGGTGTCACGGTCCGTCCCACTGCAGTAGCTCTCAGTGGACCCACTACTCCGTGTGCTCAGGCTCCTCAAGCTGTCCACGCTTTTGTCTGCCTTCAAAGGTTTGCTCTTCCCACTTTTGGTGGGTGGTTGAGAACTGCTGATTTTTAGGTCAGAAGCAAGCCGAAACTCCCCAGATAAACAAGAATTTTCCACCAAAGATTCTTTGGATCCAGAATGAGGTTTGGAAGATTCTAACTCACTAACTGGGTCTAGACCACGTCTTTGTTGATAGAGAGGGAAGTCATTCAGCGAAGAGTCTGGAAAAGCCACAGCTGAGCTGGAGGTCCGTGGCACTCCTCGAGGCCGGTGGTCCTTCCTGTAAGAGTGTGAATGTAAAGGTACAAGAGAAGCCATTTCTGTGTCACAGGCGCTGGACAGAGACTGATCAACATGGTGGTGGTGGCTGTGACTTGGCAAGCTCACTTTGTCACTGAAGTCCCTGGGCAGGTCCTGTCCACAAGAGGATAAGGAAGGTTGAATGGAGATGAAGGAGTCATTGGAGACCAGACGGAAGAGCTTCCGATCAGCTGCCAAATCTATTTCAAACACATATTTGCAAATGTTAACACAGATGCATGATCTATTTTTTTGTTACTGTGTAACACTGGAAAGAATTCACAGCATAAAGTAAATCAAAGATAAACAATTTCTCAAACAGTTCACTAACAGTTGGCTGGTCCTTCCAAAGAGCTGGTTTCTATTTCACAGTTGCACAAAGACAGCATTCTACTGATGAGATGAACTGAATTGCCAAATACGAGTTCCTGAACTGGTCTCAAAAAGGTTCTATAGACTAATAACGATAAAGCTAGAGGCCAAAAAAAAAAAATTATATTAAAAATAGACCTGGAATTCTATGGAAACTTTGTCTTATCTTATAACTAGATGTCACTGGGTTGTACTTCAGGGTCTCTGTCTATAAAATGGCATTATTAGCCTAAAATTCAGAGTTAGTGGTCAAGAAATATTGAGTTAATAACACTGTGTGGCACATCATGATCAATGGTACCTAACAGTGTCATTATTTTATCTAACACAATACGAGAATCACTTTGAAAAACTAGCATGATTATTTCATGTATCAACAAAAACCTCCAGGCCAGCGCAATGGCTCAACTGGCTCATTGCTCACCTACAAGTGCTAGTATACCATATGAGCACTGATTCAAGTCCCAGGTGCTCCACTTCCCATCCAGCTTCCTGCTTGTGTCCTAGGAAAGTAGCAGAAGATGGCCCAAAGCCTTGAGACCCTGCACCCATGTGAGAGACTTAGAAGAGGCTCCTAGATGCCAGCTTGGGATATTTCTGCTCCAGCCACTGCAGCCATTTGGGGAATGAACTAGCAGAAGGAACATCTTTCTCTATCATCTCTCCTCTCTGTAAACCTGCCTTTCTGACTGGCTGTGCTGTGCTAGGCTGAAGTACCCACCCCCCGCAGGCATGAGCTGGGACTCGGGGAAGGCCAGGTGGAGCCAGGCTGCATTACCACTGGTGAACACCAAGGTCAGATGGGCTATGCCAGCCTGCACCGCAGCAACCAAAAGCACATGCAAGACCTGAGGCTGGAAGAGAACCTGCTGGGGGGTGGGAACTGCAAGGGCTCCCCTGCTGGGTCACTGCTCTCACTGGTGAGCGTGAAAGCTGGGACTGGGTGCACACAAGACTGCGACAGACCCTGTGCAAGACTCACTATCATCAACCTGCATGTGAATTGGGTTTGGAACAGGGCGTGGGCTAGGCCAGGCCACCGCATCTACTAGCGCAGGCAAGGATCAGAAGTGCTGACTGACCAGGCTTTGTCATAGCATCCACAAGTGCCAGGACATGGTACAAATCATGGCTGAGTGGATCACAGTACTCCCTGGAGAGTGCAAAATCTGGGATTTCGACTGGGACTGGCCCTAGCAGGGAAATTGTGGGCATCCCTCTAGTGGGCTACAACTCCTGTTGGTGCCATGACAGCCAAGACTGGTTTGTGGGGTCAGCTGAGCTGCAACACCCATGAGTGTATACAAGAGCCTGGCTGGGATGCAGCACAGACTAACTTAGTCTGCTGCACACACTGACATGCACAAGAATGGGGCTGGGAGCAGGTCTGGTGGGGTTAGCTGGGGATCATACCGGCTAGGCTGCAGTTCCTGCTGGACTATGCAAGAGCTATGCTTGTGGTACACTGGGCTAGACTGGGCTGCAACATTTGTCAGTTTACCTTAAAAATTATTCTTTTTTATTTTTTTTAAAGATTTAATTATTTTTATTGCAAAGTCAGATATAGAGAGAAGAGGAAAGACAGAAATATCTTCTGTCCGATGATTTACTCCCCAAGTGACCACAACAGCAGGTGCTGCATTGATCCAAATCCAGGAGCCAGGAGTTTTTCTAAGTCTCCCACATAGCTGCAGGGTCCCAAGGCATTGGGCTGTCCTCGAGTCTTTCCCAGGCCACAAGCAGGGAGCTGGATGGGAAGTGGAGCTGCAGGGATTAGAACCAGTGCCCATATGGTATCCTGGTGAGTTCAAGGACTTTAGCCGCTATGCCATGGCTCCAGGCCCCTGAAAATTATTCTTAACTTTGATCATTTAATCTATTTACATGGAACTGCTGTAAAATAATAAAATCTCATCTTCATATAAGGTTTCTTCAACTATGTAATCTTCTACCTGCAAGCACCAGCATCCCAAATGGGCACTGGTTTGAATCCCAGCTGCTCCACCTCACATCTAGCTTCCTGCTTAAGAAAGCAGCAGAGGACAGTTCAAAGCCTTGGTTCAATGCCCCTATGTGAGAGATCCAGAGGAGGCTCTTGGCTCCTGGCTTTGGATCTGCTTAGCTCCAGCCATTATGGCCATTTGGGGAGTGAACCAGTGGATAGTTCACTCTATCTTATCTCCTCTCTGTAGATCTGCCTAATAAAAATAATAATTTTTTTTTATTTCAGTACAAGACTGTCATCTCAGATAATTATGAAGGCTATTAAACCATAAAATTCCCAACAATGTCCAATAGAAATGGCTAAATAAATTATGTGGTCTATTTATACAGGTGCTAAAAACATTTCCAAAGATTAGATAATAAACAATGTGAGAATATTTGTACAAAAAGGTGATGCTACACAAAACCCAGTATCCCAGGTTTACACACTAATATGAGCACTAAGGGTACAGGTGCATATTTTTATGAATGTTAAGAGTGCTTTGTCATTTTTAATTATTAAAAAGGAATTGTCTTGACATACACTATACAAAGTAAGTCAAACACAAGAAGGAATAAGTAAATGTAGAGACCGAAAGCCTAGTGGCTTTGTCATGTACTGAGGAAGGAAGGAAATAGTAAAATGAGTGTCTTTTGGGGGATATGAAATTATAAGTGGTGATAGGTACAAAAATCTTATAATAAACCACTAAATTACATATTATAGAAGGCAAACTTCATATATGTAAAATATATTGCAATAAGAAAAAAAGGTAATATATCAAACATGTGGCAGAAGTGTTACTGCTTTATTCTTCATATTTAACAGTGTTTTCTAAACTTAACACGTTACTTTCCCAAACACAAACGATCCTTCCTTCCTCTCATCTGGACCACCCTCCTCACTACACAAACATTCTTTTATTTATCCTACAAAAATCAAATCCTCCCTCCTACATTGCTTTCCCCTAGTAGCTATCACTTTAGATTTCTGCCCTTTCATAAAAATTCCCTCAAAGAGTAGTCCAGGAGGCCTGGCACGATCATTTAATCCCTAAGTCCTTATTTTGCAAGTGTCAGGATCTCATAGGGGTGCCAATTCATATCCCAGCTGCTCCACTTCCCATTCAACTTCCTGCTTGTGGCCTGGGAAGGCAGCAGAGGCAGACCCAAAGTGTCGGGACCTCTGCTCCAGTCCACTGCAGCCATTTGGGGAGTGAATCGATGGACAGAAGATCTTTCCCTCTGTCTCTCCTTTTCTCCATAAATCTGACCTGCCTTTCCAGTAAAAATAAATAAATCTCTAAGGAAAAGAAACAAAGGTGGCCCAGGGCCCAGGGCCTAGCACTGAGGTTACTCACGTCCTACCGCAGAGAACTTAGGCTAGACATGCAGTTGTGGCTCCTGGCTGTACCTTCCTACGCACACACAGCACGAGGAAGCAGGTGATAGCTGCAGTAGTCGGGTCACTACTGCTAACACTGCAGGCGTTGGGAAGTGAACTAGCAGCTGTTACAGGAATTTCAAGAATGAACCAGCAGATGGAAACCCAACCACTATGTCTTTTTTTCACATTTCTCTTTTAATTAATTTTTTAGAACTTAAAAAAATGACTACATTCACTATGTTTGCTTCTTCCCAATTATTTCTAGCTGAATTCTAACCCCACTCCATTAAGACTATGCTCACCAAGGCCATCAATATCCTCTAAGAAAATCATTAAACCCAATGGTCAAGTCTAGATCTCATGTCACTTAACATCTCAATAGCATCTGATGAAGCTGATCCATCCATTCCTGAAACTCTGGGACGTAACAATCTAAATTTTCCTTCTATCTCATCAGTTACGTCTCTTCAGTCTCCTAGACTAAACTTGGAGTGGCTCAGGCTCCAGCCTCAGAATTTTTTATTCTGTTTAGACTCCCTCTCTTCCAAATCTCATCTAGCATTCTGACTCTGTAATGAGCTAACATTAAAACACTCACAACTAGTTTCTCCGTAGTTCAGCCATCCCCTGTGCTCCTCTAGGACAGCCTAAAGGTCTGACCTTAGAAGTGAAGACATGAGTAAGGGGGGAAAGGGACACCACAGACTACTTCTTAGATGGGAAAAAGTTCAGGGCACAACCCCCACTCCCAATCCTCCGTTTTCTCCCAATATCCTGAATCACTGACAAAACAAAAGCCAACTGGCCAACTAATGGCCAGCCAACTAACTAAAGGTCATTGTCCTGTAAATCGAAACCAAAGAACCACAAGAGTTCCAAAGGACAGTTAGGCCAAAATGAAAAAACTACCACTAGAGGGCGCCAGGACCAAGAATTTGGATTAGAAACTCCAAACCAGCTAACTATATACTGGCTTGCCCTGTTTATGAACTGTCGAACTGAATAATCTAACTACACATTTCACATGATTTGGGTTTTTTTTGGGGGGGGAGGAGGACAGAGGGATAGTATTTATGCACAGGTAACTGCAAAACTTAAAATCCCAATACAGATCTCCTTACCTATTCATTGCCATACGGAGGTCTAACAACATCTCACAACAGATATGACCAAAGAAACTCCCTACTTACTATCCACGCTCTCTCCCCATCCAAATAGTTGGTCCTTTTTTGTACACTCCATCTTCTCTGTTGCTTAGTTCAAAAACCCCAGTCTTCCATAACTACTATTCATCTTACACGACATACCCAAATTCAGGAACATATTTTCTCTCTCTCTCTCTCCCCCCCCTTCTTTCATCCCCTCAACACACACACACTACTAACTACCCTGATCTGTGTACTAGATTACTGCAATCACCTGCTAACTGAGCTCTCTGCTTCAGCTGTTTTTAACATATTCCCAAACAGAGGAGCTTCAGCAATTCAGTTAAATTTAACAATTTAGTTAAAAATATAACCCTTAAGCAGTTCCTGATCATCTGGATTTAAAACCAATTTCTTTGAAAAGCAGAGTTACTGAGAGAGACAGAGAGAGAGAGAGAATGAATCTGATCTGCTGGTTCACTCTGAAGCCAGGAGTCAGAAGTTTCATCCAGGATTCCCACATGAGTAACAGGTGCCAAAACACTTAAGCCATCTTCCAATGCTTTTCCAGGCAATTAGCAGGGAGCTGGATTCAAAGTGGAGCAGCCAGGACACAAACTAGTGCACATTCAAGATGCCAGCATCACAGGTGATGGCTTTACCTGATACACCACAATGCCAGCCCGAAATCAGTATCTTTGAAACGGCTTAAAGGACCATACAATCTGGCTTCACCCTACCAACACCAGCCACGCCATTTCTCAAACCTTGCTGGCTTTTTTCCTCTTGTTCCTGGGTCGCCGGTCCCTTGACAGCTCACTCCTTCCTCAGATCTGTGATCTCCAGGAGGCTTTCTCTGAACTGTGCTGCCATCACAGCCCCCAACCCGTCCCTGTTTACGTAGACACATCGAACTTACACTCGTAAGATTCCAAACTATGCAATACACACGAAGATTAAACAGGCTTCATAGGGAAACCACACCGAGGCAGAGATTTCTGTCTATTCAGTGACTTTCTTTCAGGCACAAATGAGTACTTGAAAAAATGTTAAATGTTAAACTAAGACATGAAAAGTGTTACATAATAAAATCAAATTATAAAATGTATAAAGTGGACTAGTCCAATACAAGGAGCAAAAGCATAATTTACATGTAGATTTGAATGATAAGCCTGCCACGTCCTAACTGTGTGATTTCTGGCAAGCGTCATATAACTTTCTAAGTCATAACATGCTCATTTGTAAAATAAGCATAATAATGAGATCACAGCTCTCTGCCATTGTACGTGTGAAAGCAGTAGAGGACAGGCCATGTGTCTGGGCCTCTGGTGGCCCAGAAAAAGCTCCTGGTTCCTGCCTTCAAGACCAGAGCAGTTCTAACTACTGAGGCCAGTTGGGGAGTGAACCAATGGATGGAAGATCTCAATCTCTCTATTTGTGTAGTTCTCCCTTTCAAATAAATAAATAAGTCTTTAAAAGAATAATAATGAAGATACCCTAGGCAAATGCATATGAAGTGAGCAGAAAAGATCAAACTAAAGCCCATAGTGCAAGATCAGCTCATTTAATCATGTAAATGAAGTTTTAAGTGAGTTATGCCATGTCTATTCACTTAAGTGTTCATGATTCCTTTTACTCCACAAAAGCACAGCAGCTGAATAGCAAGGCAGATCATTCACCGACAGGTCTATCCTTACAGGAAAGTTTGCCTGCTCCTATTCCGGACAATAAAGTCCCCAGTGAACGCAGACATCTTTATTCACAGTAGTGTGCAGTTTCAAGGGCAGATTTCTGTATAAGTTATTCCACCCAACCATATTACAAAAATCCTGCTTACACAAAATACTTTCCACATTCAAAATATGATGAAGACATATGACCCATAAATGCAATGTCACTAAAACTTTTAAAGATTTGCTACTTAGCTGCTGAGACAATATTGATGATTACACATTAAATAAGGGATATTATAATTCTCAAAGCAACTGACTCACCTTTAAGTTAAAAAGTTTCTGTAGCATATTATATATTTAATAATTTTTCTCATTCTCTTTGAGGGTTATGGTTGGGGGGATAACACACACATAGAAATAAACAATGACAGGCAACTGTAATTCAAACAAGCAAAAAGTTACAATGACAAAACCCCAGGTACCAATAACAAAATACACTGGTAAGGAACGAACCTGGGAAAAGTATGAAATTAATGGACAAATATTATAATTAAATTACCTATTTGTAATCTCATAGACAAGTTTAAATAGTGAGAATCGTTTATCAGCCCTAATATGCCCACCAAACACCATCAATAAGCTAATAAAAAATAACAAGGTTATAACGGGATAAAAACAGGGAGAGAACTACTAATAATTATTTACTGATAATATAAACTTGGATAATCCCCTTTTGAAAACAGGGATGACACAGCTGTCCATTCATGTTCAAAGATTTCAAATAAAACATAAAATTTAGGTATCTTTATATTGCTATAGCTGTATCTACAATCGCTTCCTGGCTTTCTGGCTAAGATCAAGTGCAGAATTATATCCACAAAATACATTAAATATCTTTTCCTTATTTCAATAAAGTATAAAAGAAGATTTTGTATCTAGAAAACTCCCTTGTAAAAACCAAAATACTGATTTATATCGGACTGACTAAGGAGGGGTCAAAACACATGGCCAGCGTTTCTATCAACAATCTACCTCAAAGTACTTTCTTGGCAACAGACCCACATTTCTCAGGACCAACAGAAAGTCACTTCTGAGTCAAGACATTTAGTGATTTCTACCTTTCAGCAAGAGATGAAGCAGCTGGCACTTAGAGATCACATCAAATTAAAATAAGAGCTTTACATATTAGGGCTTCACTAAACCTGCCTAGACACTCAGACCAACTAAAGGAAGACCGAACTCTTACGTCTCAACTGATACTCATCCTTTGCCTTATACTCATAAAATTCTTTCCATGTTTATTTGGCAGATCATGTCTAACTGAATTCTTGTAGGCTAAAATCACGTATAACTCTGTATTAGTACTACTCCCAACACATCATTTTAAAGTTCCTAAAGACAACCATACCAAGCAAAAATAAGCCTCGGCCAAAATGTGAGCTGCATTTTACAAATTCAATCTAGTCACCACATTAAAATGTTCCAAAAAATAATGTCCTTACCTTGTTCTTCACTTCCCTCTTTACAAAGACTAGAACTCTGTCCCAGACTTAAACTGATATCATCAGAAGTCTTCGCAGGGTCTGTATCTCCTACAAAGTTAACAGAACCGAGAAACCACATCACATTCAAAGTCAAGTCTGTAGTATGACAGCGCAGGGAGAACCACAAACAGAACAGCAGATACCAACTAAAGCAGGGCTTGTGCGTCGAGTGTTACAACAGTGTTGACTCAAAAAATTACGTCCTTCAGTGTGAGCTTTTAAAAATACACAAATTATACACAGGAAGTGGTTAAGAACTTGCCTTTTCTAACATATTGGTCACTCAATACCATGTCAATTAACTCCATGATGCTGTAAATTGTTGTTGATGTCATGTTGTGGCTTTTCATTGGAGGGGATGATATTCTGCCAGCTCTACTTTCAGACCAGGGATGGTCTCCCAATGAAACTGTTGAATTTATCTGGACAATAAGATGCTGGACTCTATGCCTGGTACATGCTTGCAATGAAGGAATCACGACTGGATTTGAACTGTACTACTGCAATACTGTGGAGGAATCCAACACGTGGGGTGGGCATGGGAGGGGGTTGGGGAATCCCAGAGCCTATGAAACTGTGTCATAAAATGAAATTAAATTTTTTTTTAAAAAGGGAGATGGACATTTGCAGAAAAAAATAATCATGTAAATATTATTACATTATAACAACAACATATATATATAAATTATATAACAACAACTTTATAGAAATTTCCCAGGGTAAAACAGAAAGCTAAAAAATTATATGGAAAAAATAATGTGATGTATGTATAGTGCAGAAGTATTAGTCAAAGGTCAGCAAAGTCTGAAGCTTTCTCACTGTTTCATCTGTACCCACATGTGAAGGTATCATCGTGAATTTCTGCTCAAAGAAGGAAGTATCTTACAGGAAGACGCTTCCAAACGTTCACAGAAAATCCCCATCACCATTCCATGAACTTTCTGAAGTCACTTTGTAGATTAAAATCTTTTTGATTCATGCAATGAAAATAGTCAAACACTTTTGTGAAATGTACAGGATGAAAGAGGAACACCATGTAAATCAAGCAACTTTCAATAAGACAATTTTATCTATAAAAATCTTAAAAAACGTGTTTTCCTTACATATGAATGCATTGTGCTATTATCTTTATTATAACCAAACACGAAATGTAAAATCAGATCACTTCTACCTTTAATGGTTGCTGCTGTTCCAAGACGAGAACCAGATCCAATCTGAAAACGTGACATAAAATAAACCTGTTAAAATGTGGCTGTAAACTGGGGCTAAGTAAGGCACGACAATGAAAACTGTGGTCTGCGGCCTTCTGGCACCTGCTTCTGTGAACAGTGATTTTTGTTTTCTTTTGATAAGCTTCTGCACCTAGACTGCTCTATATCCAGGTATAACGTTAACAAATCTAGGCATAATCTGTTTTAGAGCCACCCTGGCATCTAACTGCATGGAACACCTTTCAACAGCCTGGCAAAGGTAAAAACGTGATCCCTCATGTACACTCACCTATATGGGTAAGGTGCTAGCCCCTTCTCAGGCGACAAGACTCCTGGCAGAAGTGAGGAAGAATAGCCAATGATTTAACTCCTAAGGAGCCCTTCAAAGAAGGCTGGGAAGCAAACATTAAATGTGAATTTTGACACTTTAATAGTGTGGGCTTGCAGACAGAAATGTGTAAAAAGAGCACCTAGGTTGTTCTGTTGGTTGGCTGGCTTTGTGCTTCTGATTTATTTAGTGTATGTATTTTGGGGGCTTACTTGACTTAATTTTCCACACTCATGGGATATAATGTGTTGCTTCAATGCTTATACAATGTGTGTGCCATACAATGTGGTATGCCAATACAAATAGGCACAATGAAAAAAAAAATGTAGCTATATCTCATTATAGCTGCAGACTAGCAAGATGAATGACCAGATTATCATGTTCATCTGCCACTCTTCTCAGTGCTAAAGGCTCCCTGGTAAGCATGTTCCCTCACGGCCACAGGCCGTCGGCCCCAGGAAGCACTGTGCACATGTTACAGATGGGCTGAGCTCTTGCTGCCCTCGCATGCCCAGGATTATTGGAGCCCCCACAGCCGGACGCCTTCAGCCTCCAACAACTCATACCATGCACTTGTACTATTTTATTTTATCATGCTCATGTTATAAACAAAAGCAAAACTGGCACTGACTCTATCTAAAATAAATTTGGTACATATAGGGAAAAAAGTAATATATGTTAAAAAGAACATCATAAGTTTTTCAGTCAAATTGTTAGAGCATCAATATATTCTCAGCTACAAACATCCTTTGTAAATGGCTTTAACATTTGAAGTTAAAAATCTATAGCACCCACAAAAATGAATTTTTAGCACTAACTACAAAATAGAAAACAAAAATTTGGTTGCTGAGCTTTTCATCTATGCATCCATAACACTTTCCTAAAATTTCACAGTCATTATTATACCATCATAAAAATCATTTTTAAAAATATCACACAAATTCCAAACATATTGAGGGTACCAAATATAGCACTATGATAGTCATTTTGGCCTATTCCTCATGAGTTCCAAGACTGAAACAGTTAAGCAAATTTAGCTTCATAAAATAAAATGTAAACCATTACATGGACCACACGGGTCACGGGAGTTAAACAAACACCGTACCCCACATGAGAGTGCACCGAACTCCATCTCCTAGCGAGTTCCTCCTCTCCCACAAGCTGGAGGGCAGCAGGAGACAACACACACACTTAGGTCTCAGAAAATCCCCATCACCATTGCACAAACTTTCCGAGGCTCATATTCAATTCCTAGTTTTAGTCTGGCCTATGCCTAGTTGGTGAGAGCCTTTGAGGAGTGAACCAGTAAAACAAAGCTCAATTTCTCACTTTCTGTTCTTTGATTTAAAAAAATAAAAATAAGTAAAAATAAAACTGATTTAAAAAGATGTTTCCTAACCTCTGACATCACTCAGATGTCTCTCCTTCAGAGTAACGAAGGCCTGTCACAATGGCTACTGAAACCCACTATTCGGCAGCATTCTACCTTGAGGGGGCTGCAACTTTCTCACAAAATTCACTGCCACACAAAAACAGACCTCCACACTAGCAGTGAAGCTATCTATGGAAAGGGCAAGTAGGAATACCTAGGACTTTGATCAATATAAAAGATGTTCAGGATGAAAAAAAAAACAACAACGGTAGCAGCAAAAGTCGAGGTGAGGTTAGACAAAACAAAAGCCTTTCGCATACTTACAGAGTCAGTATTATAAGTTAAAAGTTTTTTGAGGATTAAAACCGGCAAAGTGCATTGGTTTTCTACTTGCTGTTCCAGAGTTAACATCATAAATTATGACTGAAAACTATAAACAATTTGTTTTTTTCTTTTCCTTTTTTCCTGGCCTGTTTAGACTAGGGGTAACTATTATATATACTACATCTCTCCAATGCATATGATGTAAAGGTCATTAAGACAGTATAAGCCAAGAAGCTAAATTTCCTAAGGGCAAACATTGCAACTGTCTTGAGCAAACCTACATACCCAGACAATAAGCATGTGCTCAGCAAACATGCACTTAATTAATGTAAAATATCTGTTAAAAATAAAAATGTTGGTGAAAGATTATAAAAAAGCAATAAATGTAAATATAAACTGGCAGTCACAGGAAATAACAGAGGACACCAGCAAAAGGAGGGTGAAAAGGCACAATACGTAACAGCACAGGTTCCTACCGGATTGCTTGGATCTAGACCGGCGTAAGAATTCCTGGAGCTGCAACCAACCGGGGGCGTGGCTTCTCGAATGAATTCAGACATTTCAATCCCTCCACCAGGATCACTGTGGAGGAAAATAAACACAACAACATCATTATTCTGGCACCTATAACTTTGTTGATTATGTGTCAAATTAGATCTTTTCCTATAAAACTTAGAAGTTCTCATATTTAACAGAGCAAAGAGGAAAAAAAAATGGTCATCCTTCACTTGTAAGTCTGACAATTCAAACTGTTTTATAACCACATCATGATTTCAAAATATTTAAACCTCTCATCCCAAACTGTATCTGATCCAACATTAGAAACTGGTCTTAATTATGGTTATAGCATACTAAGTATTTTACGATATGTAACATAAAACCACTCCAGCAAAGAAATGGTTACCTTATGTTTCCCAAGAAAAATTAGTCAACTGTCAACACAGAGCAATCAGCACTACTTAACTGACTGAACTACAGACGCAATGATGAACACATGAGACATCAGTCATCCTGGTGAGGCTGTTTGTAACTGTATTTTTTAAGTGAACAGAGGACACTAACTTATTTGTGTAGAACTGGAAACCTAGTATTTTAGATTCGTGTGTGCTGAGTTAGAAGAGTACACTAAGAATAAGTAAAACGATGCTATGTGTAAAAACAAGTATTTGATAGGCGAAAGAGAGAATAGTACCTGGTTCACACTGCAGGGGGAGCCCATATGTAGTACTTAAAGACAATGGGAATCCAGAACTAGGAAAAAAGATTACACCAAATTTCAAAATAATCCAGGAATGCCATTGCAATAGGTTGCTTTGGAACTCGACTACTAAAACAATTCATAATCCTATTTCTGCCCATTTCTTTTAACTTGGTCTACCTGGGAGTAATCAATAAACTTTTAGCTAATTTTTTAAAAAGATTTATTTTACTTATCTGAAAGGCAGAGTTGCAGACATAAAGGGAGAGACAAAAAGAAACAGATCGGGCCCGGCGCTGTGGCGCAAGTGGTTAAAGGTCCTCGCCTTGCACGCCCCGGATCCCATATGGGCGCCGGTTCTAATCCCGGCAGCCCCACTTCCCTTCTAGCTCCCTGCCTGTGGCCCGGGAAAGCAGTCGAGGACAGCCCAAAGCTTTGGGACCCTGCACCCGCGTGGGAGACCCAGAAGAGGCTCCTGGCTTCGGATCGGCATAGTATCGGCCCGTTGCGCTCACTTGGGGAGTGAATCATCGGACAGAAGATCTTCCTCTCTGTCTCTCCTCTCTATATCCGCCTTTCCAATGAAAAAATAATAAAAATAAATCTTAAAAAAAAAAAAAAAAGAAACAGATCTTCTTTCCACTGCTTTTCTCCTCAAATAGCTTCAATTGCCAAGTAAAGGGGAAAAAAGGCTACCATCTAGCAGCTTCATCCGGTCTCTCTCATGGGCACAGGAGCCCAAGCGCTGAGTATTCTTCTGCTGCTCTCTCAGGCACATGCGCAGGAACAGGATGGAAAATGGAGCAGCTAGAACTTGGACTGGTGCCTACATGGGACCACTGGACTCAGGAGCACTTGGAGCATTCTTTCACACTTTGGGGTCTCTAAGGCAACATCAAATAATCGCCTCCATCCCCAGGCACTGATAGTAATTATATATGGGAAAATGTGGAAGAAGAAATGGAGGGGAGAAGAAGAGGAATCACTTTATCCACAAAATTGCATCACTGAAAATAATAATCAAAAATTTTTGAAGATTTATTTATTTTTATTGGAAAGGCAAATTTACAGAGAAGAGCCATTTGGTTTACTCCCCAAAGCTTCAACTGCCAGAGCTGAGTCTCCCTGTGGGAGACAAGGAAGAGAGGCTCCTGGCTCCTGGCTTCGGATCGGCTCAGCTCCAGCCATTGCAGCCACTTGGGAAGTAATCAGTGGATGGAAGATCTTCCTCTGTCTTTTCTCCTCTATGTATAACTGACTTTCCAATTCAAAAACATAAATCTTTTTAAAAAGAAGAAGAAGAATGCTTGCACGGTGAAGATTAGCCAATTGAGTCATTGCACCAAGTCCAATTAAATTTTACAAAAATTTCAAAAAAAAATTTCAGTCCAATTACAATTTGTATTTCACAATATTTTCTTAAAATTATAGTTAATAGGAAAGCATTTCAGTAGCAAGAGCAATACAAACCGTCTAAGCTGCCTTGTACTTATACATGTGTTCCACTGCTGAGAAAAACAGCCAGGAGCTGGTGGACATTCTGGGCTTGGTTAATCCCATGTTAGTGTTAACTATTCCAGTATGCCAGCACAGTTGCTTATTCTTACTCTTAGTATTTTTCCCCCTTCTTTTTCCGTGTGGGGAAGGTAGGGAACTCTGGCCTAGGAAGCCATCCCAGCAGCCAGGCGGGTTGGGGCGGGGAGCAGGGACGCAAGACTGCAGATTGCTTGGTGAAGAGGGTCTGGAGATATATTGGAATGGGAGCAGCTGAGTACATATTTGACAGAGAAGGAATGACTTCTGGGGCCTCCCACAGACTGGACCACTGCATTCACAGGTAAGTTAGGGAGCGAAGATGGAGTGTTTTAGAGGGGGGAAACCAGAGGGTTTGTCTGAGCCAAGGCACCCACCAATGTGGAAGACCTGGGCTGGGCTAAATAGCATCAGCTGCTGCCTGTTGGAACATGCAAAAGCTGTGGCTGAAGGGCGTGCTGGATTGGTCTAGACCATAGTACTCACCTGAGAGTGTCAAAGCAGGGAGTGGTTCATGTCAGGCTGGGTCAGAGCACCCACGAACACGTGGGAGAACCAGATCTGGGAACTTGGTGTAGGGGAATGTGGGCTTGCCTTTGCGGGACTACAGCAGCTGCCTATTTATTCAGAGCTGGGGATGGTAATGGTGTGAGTAAAGCAGGACTATGGAACCCAACCAACACTCACAGGAGCTGTGGCTAGGAAGAGGTCAGGCAGGGCAGACTGCCGCATCCGCTGGCACATGCAAAGGCTGGGACTAAGGGCAGACCAAACCAATCAGGGCCGCTGCCATCCAGGACTGGGAGCAGGCCTGGTAAAAAAAAAAATGGAGAACTCCCCTATTAGTCCACAGCTCCCGCTGGGGAGCACAACAGCCAGGGGCTGGGGGCAGGCCAAGGCTGCTACACTCAGCATTTGTGTGGGCTGAACCTGGGAATAATCCAGAGTGGACCAGGTCTCAGCACCTTCTGGCACAGAGGAGAATTAGGACAGAGTGTGGGTCATGCCCAGCTGGGCTATGTTGCCATACCCACCAGTGAGAGCTGAGACTGAGGGTGGGCATGTCAGGCTGGGTTGAAGAACCCGCCAGCACAGTCAAAACCTGCGGCTGGGAAAGAGCCTGGTACAGGAATTCTGGGGACTCCCGGATGGGCTGCAGCCCCTAATGGTAAATATGAAAGCTGTGGCTGTGGGCAGATCAGGCTGGACAAAGCTGCAGCAACCACTGGCAATTGTGAGAGCCAGGGTGTGTGTGGGACAGGCCAAATATAGCCACAGCACTCACTAGGTCACATGGCAGCGGGTCTGTGAGTGGGCCAGACTGGGTTAGACTGTAGCACCCATCAGTGAGAGCCGGACTGTGTGTGGACCAGTTGTACTAGGCCACAGTACTCGTCGGTGAATGCCAGCACTGGAGGCCAGCCATGTCAGTCTGGGCAGCATCACCCACCAATATACACAATATCTGTTACTGGGAGTGAGCCTAATAGGGGAACTTGGGAAACTCCCTTGCTAGACAGCAGCTCCCACTGATGAGTGCAAGAGCTGGGGCCAAAAACATGCTAGACCAGGGTGGGCTATAGTACCTACTGGCACATGTGTGAGCCATGTCTTGGGGCAGGCTGGGTAGGGTCAGCCCCCAGCATACACTGGCATATGTAAGAGTCAGGACAGGGTGTTAAGCCAAGCCAGGTTGGACAGCAACACCTTGCAGTTCACATGAGGGCTGAGGGTAGGTCAGGTAAGGCTGGGCTGCTACACTTGCCAACAAGAGCAGGACAGAAGCACCTGCTAACAAATGAGACTGGGGGCAGGCCATCTCAAACTTGGACACATAACCTGCTGGCACATGCAAGACCTGGGACTGGCAGCAGACCTTCTAAGGGAACCTCAGGGACTCTCTTGCTGGGCTGCTACTTCTGTGGGCATGTCAGGCTAAGCCAAGCTGTAGCACTCACAGGCGTGCACGAGAGCTGGATGGGATGTGGGCTGGGCCAGGCTGTGCTGCAGCAGAGGCTAGGGTTGGGCCTTTGGGATTATTTAGGGACTCCCAGACTAAGTTGCAGCAACTGCTGATATGTGCAAGAACCAGGTCTGTGACGGGCTGCAGTTCCCATCACTTCTTGTGAGGTATGGAGCTGGGCCACAACTGACCAGGCAGCTTGCATCTATTATTCTGTGTGCCGGATGGTACAGGTGACAGACCCAACCTGACCCTGCACTGGCTAGCGCACCTAAGAGTCAAGACTGAGATCATTCTAGGTAAATTTTCTTGAGGAACTCCATGACTAAACTGCTGGACTCAAGACCCCAGCCACAGGGAAAAATCACAGATGTGCGGTTCAACCTTTAGTGCATGTATCAGCACTAGGTCTCCTTGTTGCTGATGCCTGTGCAGCGGACAGCATGCCCAGATACACACAGGAGACAAGATGGCCAGCTCGCCTAGGCCAGGAGGGGACATCAACCGCTATGTTAAAAGATGGAAAAGAGAACAGGTTGAACATTTCTTCTGACCAAACTTTGCAACATGTTCCTGGGTCTGCAGATGCACTAACTTGGACTTCATCGATGAATAGGTCTTGGAAATATTTTCTCAACCCTGGACCAACAAAATCAACAACTTCTCAGAATTATCAAAACCGCCCTAGTAACATCTTTGAAATACTCTTCTTCCTGCACATGGGGGTCTCTAAGAAATTATTAAATGACCATTCCCCGTCCCCAGGTGCTAATGCAGTTTGACAGCAAGAAGGACACCTTTCTTCTCCTCCCATGTGGACACCGGAGAAAAAAAGAAAACTGAAACATCTGTCCCACCTACCTTCCTCCGTACCTGAACCTTCCCACCCAGTCACACACCCAAATGAGTCACACACACGTAGACAATATCAAACAGAAAAAAAAATTATAATTGGAAAGAATAATACATACATACATATACACGTACACAAACATATTATTTATTTATAAAATATAAAATAAATAAAATACCTAGAAACAATTAGAATAGTTTTAGAGTGGCTACCATGTCTCAAATTGTCCAGAGTGCCTTGCCTATATTATCTAACTTTTCACCTATAATCATGCCGTGAGATTAATACTGTTATTTGCCTGGTCACTGTGATGTGGAAGCCAAAGCTTAACTTCTCCAAGGTTTTACAACAAGGTTAGGAAGCAACGCACATCTCAGCCAACTAAGTGTGGAGTTTACATTTTGCTTGCTTAGTCATTATAAGAGTACACATTTATTAACATAAACAGAAAACACAGACTTAGGAAATATGTTAGATGCATTAAAATCTGAAATTTCATGAGACAGAAATGATAAGTGAATAAATGGATGACAAAAAGAAATCTAATCCATGTCCCTGTATGAAATTTCCCACATCAAAGGTTAAGATTTTCCAAATTAAATACAAATACCAACAAAAAGGATCAACAAGACAGAAAACAAAGAGCAGACCAGACGCTGACTGACCATCAGCCCTCCATATGCAGATCTGTTTCCTCAGATGCAAGCTACTGCAAATGAAAAATATTCTGGCATGATTCCTTAAACAACCTGTAGCAATTTGCTCCATTTTATATAAGGGACTGGATCACCTGTGGATTTTGATACCTGCAAAGGATCCTAGAATCAATCCCCCGAGACAGCTGGGAACAACTGTACACATATACATGTACAAGGAAAAGGAAACATCTAAATTATTGGAGAAAAATACATTATTTAATGAATGGTATTAGGACATACATCTGAACAAAGAATATTTTCAACTTGACAATTTAAGAGAAAAAATTAAATGATAAAAAATTGAAAGTATATCTAATAAGAGAATATTGAAATGTTTGAGGAAAGAGAAAAAAATTGCTATCAAGGGCAGAAACAATAGGTACAGAACAGGCCTCTTTCAAAGTAAGTTGTAGCATATAAATACATCTACAAAATGAAGAAAAGTATTTGATACAGAAGATAACAGCCTTCAAAAATACCTTCTCCAAATCAACAGCAAAAAAATTAACCCCAAAAATATCAATTTTATTCATAAAATCAGTATAAAAGACAACAACATAAGTAAAATACTTTCATTTCATTACTAATCCATAAACAGAAAAATTAAGCAATGAGATATGGATCACCGTTTTGTCAAATTACTCTTATAATAAGTAAACAAAATGTAAACTCTTCACTTGGTTGGCTGAGATATGTGTGACTTCCTAATTGTAAAATATTTTCATAATAAGAGAGGTCTTTAAATGGCTAACCACAGAAATCAAATGGCAAAATCAAGTGGAGAGTTAAAACACTGCTTACCACACTCATATCCCAAGATAAGACTGCCTGGGAATACGGGAGAGTTCCTGCTCTACTTCCAATTCTAGCTTCCTGCTAATGTGCTCAAGTACCTGGTCCCCTGCCTCCCACCTGGGAGACTGGACTGAGTCCCAGCTCCTGCCTTCAGCCTGGCCCACCATCAACTGTTGGAGGAATCTAAACCACAAATCAGGAATGGTGGGTCTCTGTCTCTGATTCTCTCTGCCTCTCAAGTAAGTAAAAATAAGTAATTTTTAACTATCACAGTGATTTTCCTAACATTTAACCTTAAATTTAAAATAACAAAAATAACTAAAAATAGACTAATCTATGATACACACACAAAATGGAATACTGTGTTTAAACAAAAATATTAATACAGAAAAATGTTTTCATTACTTCAAATATTTGCCGAGTATCTTTCAATGCCAGATGTTGATTAAGCTAGTGGAAATATAAAAACTCAAAGAAAAATATTGCTTCTGTCCTTGAGAAGTTTATAAAAGCAAATAAATGATCAAGTAAGATAATTTCAGATAGACATTAGTGCAATGAGCACAATTATTACCAGGGTAAAATACCTATTTAATGAACAAACTGGGTAATCACGTCAAAGATTAAAAGAATATAACTGTGTCAAAGCACTGTAACATATTCAGAAATACTACCTGGCTTAACAGTGGGAACCACTTTTCATTATATTATTCAGTGCCTTGATACCTGAACTAGTTCCCATTATGCTGAGTGGGAACATGGCATTTTGGCATAGACTCCAGCGCATTAGTGGTTGTGTTATTTGACCTTTCTCACCTTGGTCTCTATATCTGTAAATCAGGAATAACATCTATCTCATACAACTGTTCTGACGTTTTAATTGAGCTAATATATGTTAAGTATTCACACAGGAAATACTTTCGTGAAGATTTTACAGTAGAACCACCTAATATTTCCAAAGGGTCAGATCGAACTTGACTATGAATAAAGCAAATGTCCCCCCTAAAAGAGAAGGCAGGTGGAGGCAGGGCAATGTGATGACAATGGGACTGAGTGACGGAGTGTACTTAAGCTTGGGAAAGAGGGAAAGCCTCTAGGAGGAGGTGACATCCACCTAGGGAACTTCGAAGAAGTCAGTCTTGTGGAGACCTAGTAAGGGATAGGTAAGTCTTCAAAGCAAGAATGTAAACTTCAAAGATAGTCATGACAGATTAAAGCAGGACATCATAAAGGAAAATATCACAATTGTCTTAAGATATGGCCACATTTTCTACATATGTATAAATTTTTTAAATGCTGAGATTTCCAAGTCATAATTATGTCCTTAATCTGTTTGCTTTCGTTTGGATTTCTAAAAAAAATTGCCCACAATAGCATATTGTTCTATTTTGTTTAGTAATGAGGCCAAAGAAATGGATTTAAGCCCCAAACATGCCATCCAGATCTTCCCTGCTCTAACGCTACAATCTGACTTACAGTGGTAGGATACAATGCTGCTGTTGAATCTTACACCAAGAGCAAGTACAACACAATGAACATATCACTACACACATGCCAGAACCTACAGCATACAAGCGGAGTGACAGAGGTTCCTTACCTGGGTCCATTGCTGTCTTTTCTCCTGGTTGAACAGTTGCCCTGTTCAGCTTGGGCTCGCTGACCTGTGAACTCATTTGCACTCCTGTCTACAACTTCTCCAGCGTCGAGCGCTCTGTGCAGTCGATAGTTGACCATCTTCAGAACAATGAATACTGCAGCTATTACAGGACAATAAACTGCGACTATAATCATGGAAGAAGGAAGGGCCTTCGGGGGAAAAAAAAAGACGCCTTAATATTCTAAATTTTATTCACTCTTTCAATTATAGAAATCTATATTTAAAATAACACATGTTCATATACCAAACAACAATGATCAGTGCTAAGTTGTGTGTGTGTGTGAGAGAGAGAGAGTGTGTGTGTCAGAGTAATACAGAAATCTCCCACCTTTTGGTTCACTCCCCAAAAAGTCAGCAGCTGGAAACTCAATCTAGGTCTTCCCAAATGGGTTATATTACTTGGAAAATCACGACTGCCTCCCCAGGTCTATCTTAGTAGAAAGACGGAATAGGGAGTCCAACCCAGGAGTCAAATCCAGGCACCTTAACATGGGACATGAATACACCAACAGGTGTCTTGACCGATAGGCCAAAGGCCCATCCCTTATTGTCATATTTTTAAAACTTAGATTAAGAAGCCCTACACACTATACACTAGTAAATCTGAAAAAAATAACAATTCAGATTTTTAAATATTGCCAAATCATTGGCTTAGGCTTACAATTTATAAGAGGAAAAAAACTATATTTGGAATATCAGTTTTAAGAGAATTAAATACTTAAGGAGCGTTTGTCAAGTGAATGAATGATAAATTTTTAAACACAATCTAAAGAGATCCAGGACAAGCATTTAGCCTCAAAGAGTGCCTCAGAATGCTCATACCAGGATGCTGGGGTGTGAGAATGGGCTCTGGCTCCTGACTCCAGCTTCCTGCCAGTGCAGGTCCCAGAGGCCAACAGGAGTGACACAGCTAACTACCTGTTACCCACATAGGAGATGTGGACTGGGTTACAGGCCCCTGGCTTTGACCTAATCAGCCCAGGGCAAGAAGTGAAATTTTTTTTTCCCTCTCTCTCCTTCCTCTACCTCTCTGTTTCTCAAATAATTCTTCTAAACGTTTTCCTCATTTACAAATTATAAGGATCTTAAGTTATAGGGGGGAAAAATCAACCTCTTAAAAATGGTGCAGCCAATGAAAACTGAAGCCTGTGACGTCGGCATCCTATATGGATGCCGATTCCTTTCCTGACCACTCCAGTTCCAATCGAGCTCCCTGCTAATGGCCTGAAAAAAAGCAGGAGAAGGCCTGAGCATCTGGGCCCCACCACTCTGTGGGAGATTAGACAAAGCTCCGGGTCCTGGCTTGGCCCAGCCTTGGCTGTTAAGGCCATCTGGGGAGTGAGCCAGCAGATTGAAGATCTCTGTTTCTCCCTTTCTTATATAACTCTAGATTTAAAATAAACAAATATTCTTTTCATTAAATGCTTGATGTGTAAAGAGCCAAGTTCAAAATTCTTAGATCTCAACGGACAACTTTAATAAATCTAATATTTATTACAAAAACAAAAGTGGCCTAAATAACCCTTAAAAAGGTATCCAAAAGGATACCATGAAACACACACATTTTGAATTGACACAATCACACACACCGCTCGTAGAGTTTACAAAATTTCTGTGTGATGGTGGTTTTCAAGTGAAATGTTTGCATAAGACTTACTAATTCTTAGGGATCACTGAGTTCAATATCCTCCTTTTCAGACAAGAACTGAAACCTACTTACTTTGAATGGCCTGGCCAAGATCACGCATCTTAATAAAACACTTGTAAAAAAGCAAGGTCACTTGTTCCTATTTCATTTATACCTATTGTTGTATACATTTTATATATGCCACAATACCAATTCTACTTTCAAATGTAAAACACCAATGAAGGCTCATTCACAGTTCTATTGTAACTCAGCAAAGTCTACTAAGTGCCAAGAAAAGAAGCAACCTCAACATTATTACATATGCGTTACAGAAATTCAAAGAGTAAATTCACAGCCCCTCCAAACGGGACATGATAGAGCAGTATGCTTAACATGCAATAATCTATAGTATTTGCCTCTGTTAAAAGCACCAAAATTAGGAATGTTTAAAATACTTCTAGATAAAATATATCCCTCTATTGTTATGCTGCTAAAAACAGTGGATGACTAAATGTAAACAAACACACTCAAGAGAGCAGAATTTATGTATTAATTACTTCAGCATAGAGAAAAATACAACAAAATTTAAGCAATCACTATATATTGAAAACCAAAGTCAGATATTTTCTACTTCAATCACAAAAGTTACCCATCTATTTTACAGTATGTGATTTAAGTGCATAAGCCGGCCAGTGATTACAGTAAGCTTTCTAGGGGACAGAAGACAGAGGTCCAACAACAGTGCTCCAAGCCAGCTGCTCCACTTCTAATTGAGTTTCCTGCTGGCATGCATCCTGAGAGGTAACAGGTGGCCGACATGGGAGATCAGGAGGAAGCTATAGCTCCTGGCTTTCACCTGGTCCAGCTCTGGCTATTAAGAGTATGTGGGAGTGAATCAGCAAACAGAAAATCTCTGTTTCTCTTTGAAACAAAATAAAAACTAACTTTAATTTTTTTAAAAAATAAGTGCTTTGATTCATTCAGAGACATTATAAATTAAGGGGAAAGTTATAAAGTAGAAAGCAGATTATAACATGTGTTACTGTACCATATACAATAATACGTGTACATGTATACACACAAGTTACATCAGCTACTGGGAGGTATCTGTTAGTAAAATTCACCAAAACACAAAGTTGAATGGCGGCCGCTTGGGGCTGAGAACAAGAAGACAACAGAAGTTTCAATTTTGCAAGATCAAAAACTTCTAGAGATCTGCTGCCAACAATGCAAATATACTTAACGCTTCTAAGTAATACAGTAGTTCCCCCTTAACCACAAACTGCAGAGTAACAAGCCGGCAGAAGCACAATACAGTCGAAAACTAATGGGCAGGTACCAAAACTTGGGTATGTTGGACAAAGGAATCGCTCATAACCAGGTCATCACACCAATTCAGAAAAGTGCAGGATTTAAAACATTATTCATGGAATTTTCTGTTTACCACAGTTAGCCATGTAAAACCCAAAACAAACTAGACCTAAGGCAGAATAGAGGACTATTATAAAACATGATCAAGATGGTAAATTTTATATTAAGCACTAATGGTATTTTTAAAAAGGGGTAGATTTCAGTTTTCTCTTCCTTGAAGAAAGATAATCAAATGTTGAGATACTGAGCATTTACACAACAATTTAGTTCTAAATTCTGACAGCTTATCTTTAACATATATCATCCAAGTTCAAGCTACTCAAGATATCACATGCATTTCTGCTAGGACTTTTGAAAGGGCTACTTAGGATCACAGAAACACTGAGGTAACCACATCCTTCATTCAAAAGCTCAAGCAAAGAAATCTAGCCCAACAGGTTGACAGGATGCTTATTTCCTCCTGTAACAATGCAAAGACATAGGGCTAGCACAATGGCAAAGTGGCTAAATCCTCAATTTGCATGCCCCAGGATCCCATATGAGCACCATTTGTGTCCCAGTTTTAAAAGAAAAAAAAAAAAAAGGCAGTTATAAAGAGAGAACACACACACACACACAATCTTTCATTAGTTTGTTCACTCTCCAAATGGCCACAAGGGCCAGGGCTGGGGCAGGCCAAGCACAGTAGTTTCCTCTAGTCTCCCAGACGAGTGCAGGGACCCAAGCACTTGGGCCATCCTCCACTGCCTTCCTAGCAGTCATTTGCAAGGGAGCTGGATTGGAAGTGGATGAGCTGGGGTTCTAAACAGTTCACTTATGGAATCCTGGGGTCACAGGAGGCCTAAACTACTACAACACAATGCTAATCCCCACACCTTAAGTCTTCTTTTATTTAAATTTTTTTTCAAGATTTATTTATTTTTATTGGAAAGTCAGAAATACAGAGAGGAGGAGAGAAAGAGAAGAAGATGTTCTGTCCGATGATTCACTTCCCAAGTGGCCGCCAATAGCCGGAGCTAAGCCAATCCAAAGCCAGGTGCCAGAAACTTCCTCCAGGTCTCCCACGTGGGTACAGGGTCCCAGGGCTTTGGGTCATCCTCGACTGCTTTCCCAGGCCACAAGCAAGGAGCTGGATGGGAAGCGGGGCTACCAGGACACAAACCAGCGCCTATATGGGATCCCAGTGTGTTTGAGACAAGGACTTTAGCCGCTGGACTACTGCGCCAGGCACCATAACTTCATCTTAAAAAGAGACAATAAGAAGCAGTACATTTGGAACAACAGTTAAGACACTGTTAGGATGCCCACATCCCATATCAGATTGAGTCCCAGCCACTCTACTTCCAGTCCAGCTTCCTGCTAATGCACACATTGGGAGATGAAGGTCCAGGGACTTGGATCCCTGCTGCCTGCAAACTAGACCTATGCAGACCTGGCTCTTGGCTTCAGGCGGTGCCAGCTGGAATCAGAGAATGGAAAAGTGTTGCTTCTCTCTGCTTTTCAAACACAATGAAATATAAAAAAGCACCTCTCCCTGTAGGTCAGGGTAGCCAAGTACACACCTATAATCTCCAACAACACCAGCTTCATTCATCCATGAAGGTGTTATCTATCAGCAAACATAGGCCAGTAACTGTTCTTTCAGAACATATGCCCAAAACCAAGGAATATGCAAGAGTGTCACTGGGAAACAAAACTCTGGAAATAGATTATCTTGCTTTCTCTCCAAGCAAAATAATTGTAATTAATTTTTTAATCCAGCTTTATAAATTTTTTAGGCAAAAGTCCCTATCTGCATTTTACTACAGAAAACTATAATTTTGAGCAATAGTGTTATGTTTCTGTTGTCATAGTTTGCAGTCATAAAAGTTATCAGTTTACACTAGAAAACAATGGTTTGGGGCCTGGCATGATCGCGTAGTGGTTAAAATCCTCGCCTTGCATGCTTGGGATCCCATATGCTTGCCGGTTCTAGTCCCGGCAGCCCTGCTTCCCTTCCAGCTCCCTGCTTGTGGCCTGGGAAAGCAGTCGAGGACAGCCCAAAGCCTTGGGACCCTGCACCTACGTGGGAGACTTAGAACAGCTCCTGGCTTCGGATTGGCTCAGCACCGGCCGTTGCACTCACTTGGGGAGTGAACCATCAGATGGAAG